TGACTCGATTTACTGTTCCTGTCCTTTTGCTCAATTTCAAATTACTGGGAATTGTAGAGTCATGCTGGAAATGCTGTGCTGAGCTCCACAGAATGTCACAGCGTGGGACCATCAGAGTCCAGGCCTTTATCTGCCCTATCCCAGCTTCCTACTGCATAGCACTGAAAGCAGCACTTTAGGGATCTGGGAGACAGCTCAGTTAACAAAGTGTTTGCTGCTTATGCATGAGAGCTGGGTTTGAACCTCCGGCTCCCACAAAGGGAACCAGGCATAGTGGCATACATCTACACACCCCAGGCTGAGGGCACATAGAAAGAAGGTACGCCTGAGGACTTCCTAGCCAGCCAATACAGCTAAAACGGTTCAGGGAGAGAACTTGTCAGGAAAAAGGTGGAGAACAAAAGATGATGCATACTGTTGAGCTTTACTGTTAACCTTTGGCCTCCAAAAGTGCACACAAAGGAGTGCAATACACAGACACACACACACACACACACACACGGTGCTTCTGAAAGTTTGATTCCTAATGCAGAATAATAGGCATACAGCTCTGAACTTTTCATGGTGACCAGATTCAATTAAGTAAATAAATAATAAAACATAATGACTACTATCCCTTCTTCATTATATTTGCACATCACAGGATTCAAAGCTAATATAAAATCAAATTATAGCCACATCTCCTATTGGACACCCAGGAGGGAAACTGAAAGTAGTCAGTCAGGTTTTCAGGAAAAAAGCTGGCTGACCATTCCGAGAAGTAAGAACTGGAAAGCAACCAGGCCATACTACACGTGGGAGTTGAGAACTATAATAATGCTGGCTGCCCAAGTCAGACATGAAAATGACATACAATCTGGCTCGAAAAAGAAAAGGCCAAATATTGATATGATTTGAAAAGAAGGCAGAGTACGGCTTTAAGATAAAATATAATCACGAGTGAAAATAGGTAAAGGCGACAGCCACGAGACCTTGGTATCTCAGCCTGTCAAAAAGCACAGATGTGGAAGTCATTTAATCAGAAGGCTAGTTTGGGGACTATGATGAAAGAGAGGCGCATCCTCAGTCTCAAAGCAGACTTCAAGGGAAATTTCTGTGTGGCACTGATGTAGAACAGTACCTACCCTGATTGCCATGTAGTCTCCGGAATTTAACTCTATGGTTTTAGTAACAATCTCATCAAGGTAGGGGGAACTTCAAGCGATAGTTGGTAAATATCATAAACAGACCCTAGGTAGACAGCGTAAGTTGTCAGTCTATTATGCTACCTTGTCATAGGTAGAAGAAAGTGAAATTTAGAATCCCAATGTCCCACTGCTTCTCACCCCCACCTCCAGAAAGCTCCTTTTATGCTGCCAAGGCAAAAAACAAAACAAAACAAAAAACAAACAACAAAAAATACAAAGAGCTGAGCAAGAGTCTAGCTGAGTAGCCCAGGTTGCCCTGGGCATGCGTAATAATTAAAAATTTTAAATCTGTTTAAAAAATAAAAATGACATACCAAATAAAAATTATTTCATTAAGGAATCATTGAACTTCCCACATCTCTAAACAATCACAAACTTTGTCCTTTAAATATTTGAATCCTACAAGATTATTGAAAAACCTCAATGAAAAATTATTCTAATGATAAACACAAAATTTTAAACTGGGTGCGGCAGCATGTGCATATAAGCCTAGCCCCAGGAAGGCTGAAGAAGAATCTCAAATTGGAGGACAGGCAGGACCACATGATGGACACTGAACAAAAGGACATGTTTCCTACAAACATAATTCGCATTAATACATGGTTGGTATCATTCTTCTGAGTTTTAACCCGAGGTCCCCAAGTGAGCTATGGATATTGAAATAGACAATGGGTGAATCAATCTCCTAAAAGGGCAGCAGCCTAGTTCATCATGTTGGCTGACTCAGTGGCAGTGTTGGGAAGGGTTCTTGCACAGCACTTAAGAGAACAGATTACACCTGTGTATTCTTTCCTTTGGAGCACAAAAACATGGACAAAACCAACTAGGGCTTATGAAGCTTTGTGCAAACCACTGGTAATGCCAACAGTTTCACCACATACGCTCGAAGCTGACATGAGGAATCAGCTCATCATAGCAACTGGTTACTCAATCAAATGCTCACGGCCACATCTTCTGGACCTGCTCAAATTCATTACTGAGAACAGTCATTTCTCTCAATGCAGTTCCTTTCCTTCCAGCCACTCCTCATGCTACTGCAATTCATTTTCTGGCCCTATACTACTTAGAATAAGAAAACCATTAACCCTCAGTCACCACGAAGAGTGCACACTTCATTCTCAGTGGTATTTTAATGAAGTCAACCATCTCTTTCCCTTCCTTGACTGTCCTGTCACATTAAAGTCTCCCATTTGGGCTGCTGCATTAACTTCGCTGGTTCTCTGTTGTGCTTGGCACATACATGGGAAATGCACTTAGCTTTTTGGTTGCTTCCTGTGTTCTTATTCATACTCTTTGAAGAGCTTGGCCACTCCAATGGCTTTGAATAGTCTCATTATGCCTAGACTTCCAATATCCTGGCTCATTATCTGGACTTTTCTCTACTAGCTGTTTTCATCATACAGTATCTTAATACATTCTTCATAGATGTAACAGTGAAGAATAACTTACATATAATGAAAAAAAGCCTCAAACATAAAACTAAAAAGCTCAGCCAATGTTCCAAACCAAATAACTCATTTGTCATTTAAAGCTGGCCCTCATCCATACTTATCAACGGCCATTTTGGAATATATTTGGTTTCCACAAGACTATACTACAGTTTATCATTCATGTAATGATTCAAACTAAAAACACAAGACAATAAAACTCCAAAAACAACTGCCTTCCAAGCTGAGAATACAGTCACCTGGCAGCTTGAAAGGGCCTTCTGAAAATTGGGTCCCAATATCTTCAACAGTCCCAATTTTTATTTTATAAGTGAAGATTTTAAAACAAAATAAAACCCTTCCACATAACATCTGACTCTGTGATTAGTTTAATGAAAACAGTTCAATAAAAGTTTATGACAATAAAATAGCTATAAACCAGAAAAAGAAAATTACCGACTTTTACCCTTGTTTTCTCTCATTTCACTGAAGACCTGTGCAAACACTTTCCTAGGCAGATACTAGCAGACTGACTAGATTTGGATACCCACTGTTTTGAGTAAAAACTATTAAATCAATTGAAGGGCTATTAATATTTTTCGTATTTTGAAAACAATGAAATATTTTGCTTGGGCTAGGGATGTAGCTCAGTGTCCATCATTTGCCAAGTCTGTGTAAAGTCCTGGGTGAGCACTCTAGCACTGAAAAAAAAAAAAAACAAATGAGGAAATGAACAATAAAATATTTTTGTTTAAAAACAAAGGATAAGAAAGAATAGAAGTAAACAAGCAAACAGATAAACAATAAACAAAAGCAGCACCCAGTACATGAAGCTCTCTGTGTTCACAGCTAGACATTAATTAATACCTCACAGGCCTTGAGGACCCCAGGTGTTCTGCTCCTGGACACAAATAAGCTCAGAGAATTAAGTTCCTCAGAGACATTAAAATGAGACAAAGCATCCACACATTGATAGAGTACTCTGTAGTTCAAAACACAAAACACAGCAGGGTGATGGTGGCTCACGCCTGTAATCCCAGCGCTCAGGGAGACAGAGGCTGGCAGATCTCTCAGTTCGAGTACCGCCTGGTTTACAGAGCACGTTCCAGGACAGCCAGGGCTACACGGAGAAACCCTGTTTCAAAAAAATAAAAACAAACAACAACAAAACACACTGTGATCCAGGAATTACTTAGCTTTCTAAAGAAAACCAAGTATTTTTGTTTTGTTTTATTTTGTTTTCAATATATGTTATTTAACCCATGGTTGAAAAGGTATTCATCAGTCCTTCCCTTCAAATACAAAACCCAATTTACTCAACTATTAGTGTGCCATTCTGGTAATCTTTGGATGAAAGGCACAGACTTTTGTCCTCAAAATATCAAATCCTTTCAAAATTTTCACACTTCCAACTTAGCAAGGAAAATTCTCTGCCTACACTAGAGCAGACATTTTGTTTTTCTTACAATCTTTCAACCTTCTCTATATATTATGTGGGTTTTGATTACTGAAATTACTTTCTAACTATTCTGCATTCTACTCTTATTATTATTATTATTTTAGCGGCTGGACAACAGCCTGCTTTTTATTTTGTTAATTCATCTGCCTCAGGTAAGATACGTCCAAGTTCCTAGGCATCAAATTTGCTAATAACAAAACAAATAGCCTTCAGCTCTATAGCATTTAAAGAATCAATTCGTGCTGCAGCCAAGAGGCTGAATTTAGAAATGTTTCTATAAACACTTGTGACCTCTGGATGGATTTTCACTCTGGGGCTACTTCCGCTTGTATTAAATGCAAGAGTGACGCTAGTCCCTCCCTGTCTCTTGCGGTTATATAAAATAAAGTCTTTGTCCTTGTGACTTGGTCGCGCAGTACCACGGGACTGACATTTCAAGACTGGGCGTGAAGGCCACAGTCTGTGCAGCTTGCAGTGGAAGGGGGCTGCCGATGGCTCGCACCGCGCCATCTGGGCTAAGACTGCATGAACCTACAGCTTCCTGCGAGGGCTGCTGAGGAGAAAAAGCACCTGGTAACCAGAAAGAACATACCCAAGTCCCCCGGCATCCGCAGCCTTTTCTCTGGAGTTGTGCCTACAGCTGGTAGTGTTATTAACACCAAGATTGGAGAATGCAGGAATCCTAACCAGTCGTTCATGAAGGCCAGAAAATCCCCTAAAATGTGTACTCTGTCTAGACAGCACCAAAGCGCTTCGCCCAGGGTTCACAGGACGGGTCCGCACCCACTCCGCGGGACCGAACCACAGGCACCCCGAATGATGCAGCCCGCGAGCAGGTGTCCCTCACTCCCGCCCGCCCTGCCCCAGGTGCGGCCCCTTTCCCCTGCACCTGCACCCTTATCCGCGCCCCGGCTGGAGCTCACCCACCGGCGGCACTTGATGCACCTGGGCGCCGGTGGCAGCCACGGCCAGCAGCACCCAGGTGAGGAGACTTCGCCTCAGCATCTTCCCACCTGCCAGCTCCAAAGGACTCTGCAGCAGCCCCCGCAGGGCCCACCTTCGCCGGGAGCAGGCCACACCCTCGACGCGTGACCAGCGACCTCGGGCCACACCATGAACGGAGGGGGACAGCCCAGAGATGGAGGCGCTGCAGGCGGGCCAAGTCCCCAGAGAAGAGTCCACGCACAAGGCCACAGAGGGGCTAACCCCCGGCACGCCAGCCAGTGGTTTCGTCCAGCCCGAGCCTCGCCCCGGGGCGGGGCTTCCAGCTCTCCTCCAGACTTCCACCCTTGGAAGCAAACTGTACCGGGGTGCTTGAGTACCCTGGGGCGGGACTACCCATGATTAGGGAGAGGGTGGCTCCTAGGCGGCTAGGTTCCTCAGCCCACCAAACCGACAGTCTCCGAGCGTAACGCATAACGTCAGACCTAGTTTGCCCTCTGGGGAAGGCCGGCCCCAAGTGAGTCACACTCTCCGTCCATGCAGCCCGAGGGGTCACTGCCAGAGCGGACAGGAGTCAGGGCCAGGACCGGGAAGTTACATCTCTCGGCTACTCTAGGCTGTGATTACCCACCTGGGATTTTTACAGCACTCTTAAATCCTAGGATTTGGACTTGCTCCTACGTCCTGGGTTGGAGAGGTGGAAGCGGTGGAACCTTCATCGATGTATCAGAGTTACTCAACTCTGATACATTTTCGTTTAGGTTGGCTGAACTGACCTAAACCTAGAATAGGTAGTTGCTCTCTTCATAGTCTACTTCTGAACAGCAGATCGACAGATGTACATTACTAGCTTGGCTTTCAAACCATCCTTGGACAAAGCTCACCGCAATAGAGTGAGTTGCCTAAAATCTAACAGGAAAATTTGCCTTCTGGACTTGGATTTTCTGCTGTAACAACAGACATCTCAAAAACTTTTGAGAGGTCTAGGGGTTGGTTTATTTTTTAATGCGTCATTAGAACTCATCCAGGACAATTAAAATCTTATTTAATCCTCACCGAGATCCACGTATTTCTCCTTTCTTTTTCGTGTGTGTGTGTGTGTGTGTGTGTGTGTGTGTGTGTGTGTGTGTGAAGGTTGGGAAATAGGAAATTGGTAGTGTTCCACCACCTAAATTTGGAAGCAATGATAAGCAAGTTGCATTCTTTGAGGAAGTTTAGGTGTTGTAACAGCACAGGATTAAGATACACTTAGGTTCCGGCTTAGGTAAGCCAGATATGTTCCCTTTTTGAAGGGGGGCACTGAGGGTAGCTGTAGACTCCATACTCAGGAACTGAGGCAGACAGCTGCTAGACAACACAGCAAGAGTTCATCTCCAAAACAAAGCAAAACGCTGATTTTTGGGACTCTGGATATGAGGAAGCAGCAAAAGCCACAAAGTTCTTCCTTTATAAAACTTACTAGATGGGAAATAGCAACCAGCATGCACACCAGCATAATTTGCAAAGAACAGACGGCTGAAATTGGTGCAGAGAGAACTGGGCAGGAGATACAGAGAATGTACACACTGGGAAGGGGATTAGAATTTTTATTAGCCAGGCAGGATAGACATTATCTAGGAGGGAAGGTCTAAACAGGAAGTGGCAGGAAAGCATCCTGGAGACAGAGGGCTTCTGTGCAAGGTGCAAAGGATGAAGAGAGAGAATGTGAATGAACAAAAAGCGAGTTATCATAAAAATGATAACTGTTTGAGGAGATGTGCTTAATCAGCTGTAAAGACTACCTGTTGCATATTACATACACATCAAAGCGTTAGGCTGTGCTGCATCACTGCAGTTTCATGTTTTATGTTAAGAATACATCTTTAACAAGTGAAATGCTACAGCTTTGTTTTGAAAATTAGAGTGCTGAGTGCAGCTACTTCAGGACTTCCACGCTCATTTCTTCATGCTAATCAAAAACTGAGGAAATCATGTATATTCTTATAAATGTTTTCGAAATGAAAGCATTTTATAGAAGCAAAACAAAAACAGACATTACGTAGAAACGAGAGAAAACGGAGGACTTCCCACTTTTACAGTTAGTACACAGTCAGTGTTGCCCCTGCTGACTTACCGTGAAGCTTAACTAAATCTGTCAGAAGTACAGAATCCCGTTTCCACGTAGCGATTACCAAACCAAATGACTAATTGATTAATTCACCTTAATTACTATCGAGAGCATTTTCAGCATGTCTCCAAACATACCTTTTACTTATCAGGCTTACGTATCAGACTTAGATACTTTTTTGTTGTTTTGTTGTTGTTTTTGTTTTTGGAGACAGGGTTTCTTTGTGTAGCCCTGGCTGTCCTGGAGACCAGGCTGGCTTCGAACTCTAAGACATCCACCTGCCTCTGCCTCCCTGAGTGTTTGGATTACAGGGGTGCACCACAACAGCCAGCCTTAGATGCTTTGTAAAGAAAGTTCACATACATTGGCATGATAACCTTATGCACAATCTTCATATAAATAACTTTTAAAACCTACCATATACTATTTTTTTTCCTTTCAAGTAAATTAATATTTAAATCTACTTTCTTGAAACTACATCATGCTATGTATGTCTCCCCTCAGCACACACACATTCACAAAACTTTTTTTGAGTGTGTCGTGCTGGTCATTGAGCTGAGGACTTTGCAAATGCCATGTGAGATAATATTGATGACTTCTAGCCCTGCCCCTCTTTTTACTTTTTGAGGCAAGGTCTAGACTAGAACTTAGCCTTTCAACTTGATAATATTACAGGTGTCTAATCTTTGTTGTTGTTTTAAATCTATTCAATTCCCAATGTAAAAGTGTACAGAAAGTCAAATCAAGATGTGTGGTTATAGGAAACTTTATAGGGATTTAGGCATACTTATGTAGAGAAACAATAATTAAATATATGTGTAAATGATTTATGTGTGTAGAAAAGATGACTCAAACTATCAAAGAAGAATCGTCTGAGAGTTGGATAACCTGTTTAGTATGCAGTAGTCAGCATAAGTATTTAAACGGTTTATAGGAATAGCCGAAGTTCTTGGCAAGCTTTGAATCTCCTATCTAAAATTCCTAGGTTTCCCCAGGTGGAAACTTTGATCTACATTAATTGCAGCCAAATCACCCCACCCTAAATGAAATATAGCGTTTACCCAGAAAAGATGACTTGATGTAATAAATATTGAGCATAAAAACAGTTGCGCTGGAAGGCAATAAATATGGAGATAATATTTCAGTTTAAAAGAAACTGTTTTAACAGAATATTTACCAAATTTAAATAGATATGCTTTTAAAACCAAAAAAGTTTTTGTTACAAAACTAAAAATTTAGTGCTCATGTTTAATCTAATTGTCCCTCTAAAACATCAAAATAAAGGTTGTAACAATTATCTTTACCTTTTAACTGAATAATTTACCAAATTTAAATATATATGCTTTTAAAAGCAAAAAATGTTTAGAGGCACTGGGTATGTTTTACACACCTGTAATCCCAGGACTTCAGGACTGTAGGTTCATAGTAAGCCTGTGAGACTTTCTATCATGATCTCAAAGAAATAAAAGGCTTAATACATTTAAAATGTCGTACGTTTTTTAACAGATTTTTTTTTCTTTTTCTTCAGGAAAAAATAAAGATGATAAGAGATGAAAACTAGAAAATCAGAGGTCATATAAACTTTTTTCTAGTTGCTTTATTATACCACGAGTTACTTGTTTTGTTTTTCTCTTTTAGCTTTCAAAAATGTAAAATATTACCTCAGCTTGAGACAGCGATTTTTTTCTCTTACAAAACTAAAAATTTAGTGCTCACATTTAATCTAATTGTCCCTCTATAAATGTCAAAATAAAGGTTATAACAATTATCTTTACCTTTGCACTAAATCCTTATTTCTTTGTGAAGCATTGTGAAGTCATATTGAATCAATGATAATTCAAATATGTTATATTTAAAGAGAAACTTAAGAAAACCCTGTCCTATTTCACTCTTTCCTTAATAAGATATACTTCTGGACCACGATATTACTCATTAATTTTTCACGTGTACTAGAGCCTTATAATTCTAAACATGAGCTTTATTTACCATTGAAGGTTCGTTTCAACTTAAATCCTACAATAGCTAAACTATTCTAACTTTATATACCACCATAATTTACATAAACTATTAAATTAGCTTATATTAACTATTCATTAGCTTATAACTACTTAATACTTCAACAAATTGTTTTTGTGTGTTTGTAATAAATTTATTCTCTCAATAAAGACTGAATACTTAATAGAGGTGCTATGAAAATAGTGAATAAATGATTCTTGTTCACTGGAGGCCTGGGCCTTAGAACAGAGAAAAGCAAAAAATGGAAGGCAAAATATAAATCCAATGAATATCTTCAGAGGTTTCAATATAGTTAGCCCATTAGGCCACAGCCTACTCTCTGCCTTATACCTAGATCTTTCACAGATCTCAACTCCATGTTGCAGCTTACAGGATTTGAATGAGGTTAGGGCCTTATCCCTCTGGGGATGGTCCCTGCCTGGCATAAGACATTTTACTTTCCTCTTGTCGAAACGCTTGGCTTAGGTCTTACTCCGTTGCTCCTATAAAGCAAGTTGTGATTTAAAGCCCAGGACTCATGCTATATAGTCAAAGCAGTTGCCAGTGCTGCTGGCATTCATGGCACAAACTTGAAAGGAGCCACCTAAGATGAAGCAGATATCAGTGGACGGCACAGTCGCAAGATGAAAACAAATTGGGTCATTGGTGACATTGCTAGGCGTTAGATGAACCAATCCCCGAGCCTGCCTGACAGCTGGACTCTATATTTCCATGAGCCACTCTACTCCTTCTTACTGAAGCCTTATTACAAAGCCTATGACTCCTTATTACAAGGTTCAAGTTGCTTTGCTTGCAAGTTGAATTGTGTTGGTGGAGCTGAAATAGAAAGAGTTGCTGCCTTTGACCGTGTTTTCTCAGATAGGCAGATCTCCAAAGAATCTTACAAATAGAGTTGTAACCAACTTGTAAAATCCAGAGAAAGCACCTCAAAAGGAGAGCTTCTGAAGGCCTGGAGAGAAAACAGTCAAGTAGGGGAAGCCTGGATAAGTCATTCCACCAGGCTACCAAGGGTGAAGGTACTGTCTCAGCCGCGGCTTCACCC